TATTTTTAATTTTCTTTTAGTTCTTTTATATTTTTTTAATATATATTTTTTCAAATATTTTTAAAATAATTTTTAATGCTTAATAACTATCGAAATGTGTATTTTGTTTCCTAGAAAACAGAACGATATTGAAAATGATTTGAAGCAAATAAATGATGGCATACGCGATAATCACAAAACAGGAAGTAGGTCATCAGATACATCACAAAGTCTATCATCTTTACCATCGTCTCAGATTGCGACACAAGCGGTTGACACTTCCAATACAAAGTTTGCAACGAATTTCTTTGCAAATACGTCTTTTGCATTCGATGCACTTATCAATATACTCAAATATTTGAAGATACACGTATGTCAATATAATAATTGTTATTTATAAGTTTATAAGTTTATTTAATTTTTGTAATATTTAGGAACGTTCACGTGCAGCTTCCGTTTGTAAATTATGGAATATTGCAGCTAAAGATACAACTTTATGGAAAACTGTGCGTATGAAAAATGCAAAGGTTTCTGATTGGGAGTGTTTTGCGGCATCTCTACGCCGTGGTGAAACTAGACATTTGGATCTACGTAAAATGTTAATTGTAACTTCTAAGGCTGAAGAAATGTGGAATGACTTCCTGGAACATATTGGTACAGTTTGTTCATTGGAAACCATTGACTTATGTCGGTGCTCGGCCCGTGTGGTTGAAAGTCTTTTTCTCACCAATAAAAAATTGCGCGTTTTAAATGCATTAGCAATAAATGATGATGTTATAAATTTGGAAAACATTGTCTATATGCAAGAGCTGAAGGAGTTGCGCTTACGTACAATTGAAGCTGGTGTCATCGGAGGAGAACTTAATCCATTACAATGTTTAGACAACCTGACCCATCTCTCAATAACCGCTATACGTGGTCTCGGCGCAAAGGGTGTTGATGTGTTTGGTGAACTTGTACAGTTGCGTTCATTAGAATTGGGTGAATGTGGTGACTTTGATTCAACTTTTGCGAAAGATGTGTTGCCAAAATTAAACAACTTAAATCGTTTACGTCTGGAAAATGGCACAAGTACTAATTGTGATACACTAGAGATTCTAGAATCAGTTGCAAATCTGAAGCAGTTAACACAACTTGAATTAGTAAACTTTGATATTCAACCCACTTTTGATGATAAACTGCGTCAGTGTACCAATATTAAAAAGTTGCTAATCATTCCAACATATATTTCGCAGTCTGCTACAACAAATCGTATAATGCTTAGTGCAGTTCAGAAAGTGCCAGATACTTTAAAGGTGTTTACTTGGGGAGTTACAATAGAATTGCTTAGAGTAACAGCATTATATATGGATCAATGTAAGGAAACAAGCAAAAAGAAAAAAGTTCACGTTAATGAACGTATACCAGTTTTAAAACCAGTCCCTGGTGCTTTACCGGCACTTACAAAAGATGAAGAAGAGGAAACAGAGCATGTAAATGATGATGCAGATAATAGTGAACTACCGCAGCTGGAATTGTTACCTCTTGATAAAATAGAAGCCATTATGGCTGCAAATATGCCCAATACAAAGTTCACGATAGTAAAAATGCCTTACAATGCAACATGCAGACAACAATTGGTAGAGTAAGGATAACATATTGATATAAATTATTTTCATTAGCCAGCCAATAATATAATAAACCAACAATGAAATGTTTAGTCAATGCCAAACACTGTTTGCAATGATTTTTGCGTTTTTAAGAGATAACCGCTTCTCTTTCTAAAACTGTATAGTTTTTGTTTATTATATAAATAATTTATTTTATGTAAAATCGAAGTAAATTAAAAAAGAAAATTTATAATTATCACTAGATAAGAAAAGATATAAACTCAGCCATTCATAATGGTAGATTAGTTGGTAACATTAAAATTATAATCTATATATATTTATATATAGCGTGCACATCTACTGTGAAAAATGTAAGCAATTCTGTGCTTATATATATAAAATAAAATCAAGATAAATTCACTTATTTTATGTAATTTAATAATATAAAGTTATTATTTATATACATAAACTAGATATAACGCAATGTGCATGTAATGAAACATAATAGACTTCATTTTTTTTTTGTTTTAATAATTTCAGACTTTTAATAAGATTTTAATTTATAAACAGAAATTAAGTAAGATGTTCAAAAATTTTAATTTTATAATAACTTTTAATATTCATATTTTGCAAAAAGCAGTTTATTTATCAATATCAAACATCGAGTATTTCCTTTGAGAAGATTTAAGTAAAATTGTATATGATTAGTGCTCACATAGTTATTGTTTTCTAAAAGCATTGTAATTGTCAAATCTTCACTTCTAATATAATTAAATTTACTTTACAAAATGTTTCAAAAATATTTAAAAAATGAATTTTAAAATTGTGGTTTATGCTTTTTTATATAAAAATTAAGAAGTGATATAATTTTTTTCTTTCATAAAGTAAAATAACATAATTTGGCAATAAATAAAATTAAAAAGAAAAATTATAATGCAAATAAATGAAATTTTAATAATAGTTATTAAGTTTATTATAATGATTTTGTGTCTTTTGATGGTATTGTAATGTAGTTTGTATATTTTATTCATATGTACTTTCCGACTTGAGAAAACTAGGAAATAATTTGCGTGTTGGTACAGCGCATGCGTGCAATTATTAAAATCGTGCTTAAAAAGCGCATACTCAAGCCGTAAGCAATTGCTGAAGTGAAGTCAAGTGAAATCAATAAAGTGCAATGCATCGATCATTTTAAATCTAAACATAAAATCTAAAATTTTCAATGTTTTGATATGTTGTAAACACAGAGCAATAGACTTTGAAGAAAAAAATATTCGCTGAAAATAAATATAATTATATATAGTGAAAGCTCTCTATGTATGACAAATGAAAATATCTTATAAGGGCGTCGATCCGTTTAACAGAACTTTCACTGTAATAACGTGCAAAATCGAAACATTGGCAGTTTGTTTCGTCATGATTGAATCCGCCAAATCTCACTTCAAACTGAACACTAAAATTGATCATGTACAGGAATGGATGATATTCTCCATACATATATACAGTGAGTTACGGTGCGTTGTTTGATAAACTTATATCAACGTTGTCATATATATTTATATATCCATATATCCTATACATTTAAATATATATCTTATATATTAAAATATATCTTATATTTTTAAATATGTATATATATAAATATACATATAAGATATCTCATACATTTCAATATATATTTATATGTTATTTTCCAATAATTCAATTAAAGAATGATTAGCGAAGATTTATATGAACGCAGCTTAAATAATTAAAGCAGTAATGCGTTCAAACACGATATCACAGCAAGCAAGCCGTCCATTGCGCCTTTTTAGGTAAGTATTGGGTAATCAAGGACCTATTTTGTTATTCTTGTCGTATCTAAACGACTTGGAAGCCTTATGCTCTACTTTCTCCCAGAGGATAATAGAAGAAGAGTATCTGGTGACACAACAGAATTAGGTGTGATGGAAAAAGAAAGGCATAACGAAGAGGATACTGATAAGGTAAGTTAGCTTTGTTTTACATATCTAAGATATATATATTATTGTACATGTTGTAGTTTCAGGCGTGTACAGCACGTCACGCGGTTACTGCTGTAACGGGTTAACATAAAATACAGTGATCAACGCACCATTGGAACAGTTTCAGCCGGTACCAATAGTAATCATAAATATGAGTTCAACTACTCTCTGGGTAATGGAAGCTACACTAAAACCACTTTTTGTTTTGTTGGTTAAAATTGAAAGTTGGAAATACAAGTAAAAATTCAGAGAAAGGAGAAGTGCTAACATTTTTATCTCATCATGATAATGGTACAGCACGCAATTGGCTGAAATTGGCTAAACATTTTTGATATATATTGCAATATCTAATAGTCTTGATATATTGCTGTCTAATTCAGATACCTGGAATACTCTTGTGTTGACGTATAGTTGAGGTGGGGAAAAACGTCAGTTTTGTAAAGTAGAAATACGTTTTTTTATTTTTTTTTATTAGATAAATTTGAAAAGGTGGTCGAGAGAACTACAAATATTTGTATTAAATAAATTGTCATTTATTTTGATTGTTCTTATTTATTAGCTAAATCTTGTATTTACTAATACTTTATTTACTTATTTGTACTTTAATTATTTATTAATACTTTATTTATTTTTTAATAATTTACTTATAAAATTTGTTAATACTTAATTTATTTATTAATACTTTATTTATTAAATTTTTTAAAACTATTTAATTATTAATACTTTATTAATTTATTAATATTTATTTATTTATTAGTGCAATATAGACAATAGAATAAAGAGGATGACGTAGATAAAGTTTGATTAATAATAATTTATGTTATATCGTGATCCTAATGATGACTCTCAAGGATAGTCGAAATATATTCAAGGATAGTCCTATAGCCGTATAAGAAAATATATAAAAACCATTATTTATACTTTCTTAAAACTGTATTTATTCATTAATATTTTAATTATTTTTTAATACTTATAAAATTTAATAATATTTTATTTATTTACTAATACTCTACTTATTAAATTTATTAATACTTTATTTATTTATTAATTGTTTGATTTATTAGTACTTTATTTATTTATTAATACTTTTTTTAATTTTTAATATTTTATTTACTTGTATTTTGTGTTTATCTGGTTCTTAATGATTGGATAGGTTGCTATTGTTGTGTATCGTTTAAATCGTTGATTTTGTATTGTGCATAATGTATCATGGTTTGTCCGATTTAATATAATAAATTTATCTAGTATCCTTTCTCTGTGGCATAATAATGCCTATCTACCTGTTTTAATCAATTCGTAGAAAAAATTTGTTTAGATTTACGATGAGACAAAAGTATTTAAAAACAATATTCTTAGGTATTTTATAAGAAATAGTTTTATACATATATATTAAAACTTATAAGTATAAATATGGTTAATATATGTTCTTGTATTTAAATATTTTTATATAAAATTGTTTTGTTCTTATGTAATTAAAATTATAATTAAATTAAATAATAATTAAAATCTTTTTGAATTAAAAAACATTAGATATTTTGCGCAGCCTGGTGTCTGGTGTTATGCTGCAGAAGTTAAGATACAACTTTTAAAATATAGGCGACAAGAATGATTTTTTATTTTTAGCTGATTAAATTAATATTCAAAAATGGCTTACGTTTATATGATACTATTTATAGTTAGGTGAAATATAAGCTGTTTCATTCAAAATTTTTATAGAATCTAATTTTTTGTTATCATTATAATCATCTTTTAATGATCATTATAAATCATTATAATCATTATAAATTTTTATTATTTATATATTTTTAATTTATTTTCGAAACTATTACTTTTTAATGGTTTTTTATATATTTTTATTTTGGTTGTAGGTCCCTTCTTGTTAAATAATAAAATTTTAATATTTTAATATTAAAATTTTATTTTATATTGTAATATTGAAGTTTTATTATTTAACAAGAAGGAACCTACAGCCAGAATAAAACTATGTATATAAAAAAATCATTTTAATAAACAGGTCGAAAAATAAATTTAAAAAATTTAATATTACTTTTTACTTATCGCATTTTTATTATTATTTTCGTGTAATAGTATTTGCATGTTTTCAATTTAAATAATTTTTTATCTTAGAAGTAGCGATAACTAACTTAAAAACAAATTAAATAAACTTGCTTTGAAATGAATGTAAGAAATGTTAGTTTAATCACTTCATTTTATTTACACATTTAATATTTTTTAACAACCTATATAGTATACGAACATATATATATAGTTACCGAAGTTAAATACAAACCCGTCAGCTTACAATAAAATTTCACAGTTAGTTGGTGAAAGGAATTTATATGTCTTTATGTCGTTGAGGATCCAAATCCAAACAGATACAACAGAATCAAACAATAATAAAGAACCTGTAAAAAACATCTATGAGTTTAAGAGCGGAGGCCTAAGAAAAGAAGTGTTCGGAAACTTTTTCCAGTGCAGTTATATGGATCAAGAATTTAGAAATTCTAGGCTCCATGAAATCAAAAATTTAGAATCGTGCTTTCTTATTTTCTTATTGTTATTGTTAGTGGATGTGGCACTGCGACCGTCGGGTCTATTGTGCCCCCTTCTGGGATTAGAGTTAGTCTCTAAGCCCTGTTGCGTCAATAAAAGTAGTATATAACCTACTTTACAGAGTTTTATTGCCTCTTCCGTAAGAATATACATTCCCAAGAGACTATTCCATATGTGGATTAGCGCAGGGCATACTAACAGCACATGTGTGGTCGACTCTACATTTTCTTCACAGAGTTTGCATCCATATATATACTCAGTCTCGTAAAGTGTTATTTTAGTTTACAGTGCCCTGTTGGAATTTCTATGATGATTCTAAATTTTTCTTTTCATACAATCCTGGTATCTCTTACTGTTATAGGTACCAATAAGTGATTTGGATTGTGTTAATCCTGATATATTACCCCAGTAATCCTTTTTATTCTGGTTATCTTTTATTTTTATGAGAGCAGGAATGTACTATGTGCCAGTCCACAAAAAGGTTCAGGCCCCATCATCAGTATGGCTGCTCCTTTCATGTGTAGTTTGTGCGAGTATTTGTAGCCGCGTACGCCAGTATGTCCCGTACTTGCAGAAGTAAGTATTTTCCAAAAATACCTCATTTAGTTCAAACAAATTTAACACATTTTTTCACAATTTTACTAATACTAATACTAATTTATCTACACATAATTATATTTATAACGATTTTTAAGCGTTTACTTAAAAAAAAATTTGCATATATAATTCAATAAAGTTAAAGTTCTGAATTATTGTATTTTAATGTTTAGATAATCATGTTACAGTTTCAAATTTAGCAGGAGACGAGTTCGATTTCTGGTACTTGCAGTCTCAAAAAATTATTTACGAATAATTAAATACAGTAATCCTCACTATAAAGCGGAACCAATGTACCGTTACAGGAGTATTCACGTATACCCCGTATACACACGTGCAAAGGAATACGAAGGTAATTATGAACTGTACATACCTCCGCGTTATATGCGGAAATGTCCGTGTTATACGGGGGATTAAAATTACGTAATATGAAAACGCGTTAAAAGGGTACAGCGTTATAGAGGGGATTACTGTACGAGAATTATTTCCAAGATCACTAATGATGGGTATTTGGCAATACTCGAAACAACTGTATAGTCAGCCAAAAATTTAATTAATTAAAATAATATAAAAAAGAATTTTTGTTGTTTCGTAAAACTTCTTTTTGATAATCATTTTAGAAATCATTTATATGCAATTGTTTTCAGTTCAATAAAATACAGGTAATAAGAACACTACCAGATACATTTAATCAGTAATCAGACCAAAATAAATTTCTTTCAATTTGACTTCAATTTTATTGCTTCGAATAAGGTTACTACTTCAGTACTGCCGCATGATATGTAACCCTTTTATACTGAATATGTAAAATAATATTGGCGGAACAAAGGAACAACAAAAAGTTTCCGGTTTGCTGATTCTTGCATTTTAGTGCAAATTCTGCACCAAAAAATAAGAACAACTTTTCAAAAGACTGCTCATGTTACAAATTTGAAAACAAGTGCACTTATTTTAAGTTAACAAGTGCATCAGTATAAATATATGTAAAATATGTAAAAAATATGTATTTTTTTTCTTTCGTTAGTTTATTTAGGCCGTGTGCGAGTTCGAGTAAATTAATGGTAAATTGAGGGAAATCGTGAATTATGTCGATTTGGCAGCGAATGTTGGTATTTACCAGAATTTCGAGTAGGGTAAATTAGATAAAAACCTTTGTGAAAACTTTATAAGATGTTTAATAAATAAATAAATAAATTTGAAAACTTTTAACCAAAAATAATAAATAAGTGCAATAAATAAGCATTTTTTATTAATAAATATTTACATAAATGCAGTGCGAAAAATTCCTAGGAAATTTCAATTTATTTTTCCTCAATTTACTCGAACTCGCACACGGTCTTATTGCATCTTTCTAAATAGAAATTGAAAATAATTTTGCGAGTCTTAAAAAAATAATTATCAAAAAAAAAACTATTTATAAATGATTTGTTTTTAAAAAAATATGTATTTGAACAAGTTTTATTATTATTCAAAACAAAAATTGTTAATATGTGCAAAAAGTAGTGTAAATATAAAAAAGTGTAGCAGGGCAACACTTTTTATGCCAACCGCTTCCACTTGCGTGCTACATTCAATCAACACGATCCAAACTTCATGCACTCAATGTATCGTGTGCTTTTGAATGTGTCGGACGTTGTGAGCGCGCTCAAACACAAAATAAATTTTAAATTATAACGAAAAATACAAACGAAAATATTAAATTAAGTATAAAATATTTAAGTTATTACTGGATAAGTTTTGAAGTTGCAAAAGTGAGTTATTTTGCTTAATTAAATAAGCTAAACGGGAAATTAACGGGATTAAACGCATTACACATATTTTTTGTTGTGATCTTTGCTTGCCAAAAAAGGAATTACGAAAGCTTTTACTTGCAAAAAAATTTGAAGTCAGGATTTCAAACCGGATTAAAATTATTTATAAAAATTGAAAATAAAAATGAAACAAATAAATGAGGTAAGTAATTAAATCAAATTGGAAACTGATTAAATTTTTTTTTTTAACAATTTCTTGTAATTAAAAAATGATTACAGTAATGTTATTATTTATGGTGAAGCATTTTTAAACTAATTGCAAACTTTGCTTCCACATTTGTCTTTCCTATTCGAACAACAACAACAAAAACAACAATAACGACAACAACAAAACTAATAAATTTTGCACCTATTGATAGGTAAAACTGATAAGGCTGACAATGAAAGAGCAAAAGATAATAAAAAGTAACACAACAA